TTTGCCGATCGAGGACGTCAACAGGGCCGCTGGCTCCTGCCGAATCGACGGGGCTTCGCTTTATTTGCTTGTCAACAAGCTTTTCAGGGGAGTCCGAGATCCTTCGTTCTCGTTCTCTCGGGCCATTCTTCGAGCGATCGACGCCGATCGACGCCGATCGACGCCCAAGTCCGGCCGAGTCACCGAACCCGTCGAAAGGGCTCCATCTTCTTCCTTCTTCGCCTTATCCATCTTTCAGTCCTCTTGTTCCACTTCTTCTTCTTCTTCTTCTTCTTTTTCTTCTTCTTTTTCTTCTTGTTTCTTCTCGTTTTACTTCTCTTATTCTTTACCACTTTTGGATCGACTCCTACAGCCGACTCAGCCCAGGTCGGTCTTACAAGTTCCTCTTTATGCCAGTGGAATGCCAGAGTGCAGTAGGAAGTCCTTATTACACATAAAATAATCGAGCGATCGGTAGTTAGTCGCAAGTTCGCCAGCATGTAGGAGAGTTTCTAACGAAGGCTGTGCTGGCGGGAGAGTGCACGTGGAATGTCGTTTCGTTGGAAGTAAAAATGCTAGAGGAGAGAGAGCGAGAGAGAGAGAGAGAGAGAGAGACTGGAGAGTACAGGAGGAGGAGCACGGGGAGGAAAGAAAGAAAAATGAAATGTAGAAGCCCGTGGTACACGGTGCTACCTTGTTCTCGAGAGGGATGATTGGGAGGGAGGGATAAAGAGGGGAATGAAAAAATAATTGAGCACGCTCTCGTGACACGGACCCCGAGCGCCATTGTTGTTCCTGTTCGCTTCGTCTCTTTGCTCTTACAATTTTCACGAGACCGTTCATATACGTGTTCCCTGGTAGACGTCGTCGTGCTTCGATCAAATTACTTCATTTTTTTTCCACAAAAAACTCCTCTTCGTAAGACTCTTTTTTTTGTATTGCGTCACTCGTACGTTCGTGTCATCATCAGTCCCATTTTTTTTTTTTTTTTTTTTTTTTGGTAAATCACAAGAGCTGTCGAAATACCTGTTCCTTGCGTAATCTTTCCTGGACCTCTTCTTATCCATCATCCATCTACCCTGATGTCTTCGGCAACCTCAGCATCTCTCTCCTATCGTTCCCTTATCTCTTTGACTTCACTCGCTTCGGCTCTGTTCAACTTTTCCCATGGCACAACAGTTACTCCAGGACATTATCTCGAGCAAGGTGCGTGGTGCGTGGTGCGTGGCCTTTGCGGCGACCGCACTGACCAGTAGTGCACCCCCCAGCTACCAGGTACCAGGTACCAGGTAACCAGTGTTCAGGCACTGTGCATAATTCTCCAGGAAATCAAAACACTAGAAATCCAATTCTCCTGCGTTTTTCATATAGAATAAGAAAGTATCTTTAAAAATAAACTCACTTGCGTCACTTTCCACCCAATTTTCATACCAAGGTCATTCGCACTTAGTTTTATCTTAATTAATTCGAATAGAAAGGACAGAAGAATTATAGGTCCGACATCTTCAGCGCCATCTTCATCAGGTCGACGACCGTTTTCCATAAAGGAAAAGTCGGTTCTCACTGTACATTGTCTATTCTTGCGGAAGATCGTTGATCCGTAGATTTTCTATCTGACGTGTGCGGTATGTCGCGTTGCTGCTTACCTGCAAAGGTGAGAGAGAGAGAGAGAGAGAGAGAGAGAGAGAGAGAGAGAGAGAAGGAACGAGATGGGGATATCTCCTGGGTCTAGTAGGACCCAATAGGATCCAGTAGTGGGTAGGTGAGGTTGGTAGATCCTGAGCCTAAGATAGCCTCGGTTCTCTTCTTCCCCATCTAATGATCGTTACACCTGTACCTCCAATAAGCACCGACGTTAGATCCCCTCAGCACCTGAAGCACCTCCAGGTGGGTGAAGCACCTCCTAGGCGCACGTGGTAAATACGCACTCGTATGCTCTGATAGCTCTTGCGAGAGAAAGTGTCTTGTGCTTTCTACAGCATCCGTAGCCTGCTACCGGGTATTGAGCCACCAGACCCCGGGACTGCGACACGCGACCTCAACCTTTTTCATGGATCCCGACGATAAAGTTTCTTAAGCATGCATAAGGCATACTTGTATGCTTGATGCTGACCTGGACCAAAGAAGAGGCTGATGACGGTTATACCGTTCTCGAATTTTAGTCAACGCTCAAGGAGACTCTTGCCTGCCATTTTCTATTATCTTTATAACCGTGAACCTCCGGTGCGGTGAACCATAGTCACTCGGAACTGTTATTTTTTTTCTTACAAAACTCCCTTTTCTCCCTGCTGAAATTCCAGCCTCCAATTTGTTCGGTGTTCACCTCCAGACTCATTCGAATAAATTCCAGCAGGATTGTTGCTACCGTGTAAGGACGTTCCGGGCAGTTGGCAAACCTGCAAATGAAAGGGAAGTGGAAAGTTGAAGGTAATCGGATAGGAAAAGAGGGTAGACTCCGTCTCTTGCTCGCGCTTGCTCGCTCTTGCTCGCCTTCTGCTGAACTCGTAAAGTCCCTTGGATGCCTCGTGGTAGTCTTTGTTGCCGTTCCTGATGATCTCGAGAACAAAGGGAAGCTCTTTGGGCTGTCTAGTTGGTCTTGACTCCTGGTGCGTAAAATTGGATCTCCGCAAGTCGTTAAGGCCGTCCTGGTGCATTATTCGTGGAAGATGATATCTACGGGTGAAGAAGATCATTCCGGAGTCAGTGAAGAATTGAGAAAGAGCAGCAGAGGGAGAAAAGTGAACTGACCCGATCCGCCGTTTTAAAAATTGGTCCTGTTACGACCTGAGGCATCTTTTTTTTTTCTTTTTTCTTTTTTCTTTTTTCTTTTCACAATTCTCTTAATGATCTAGATCGTTATTGGCAATTAGTACTACAGCCACACAGCAGATTCCCTGGCTCAATTATTTCATCCACTTTGTCCCCTGTTCCTGGAGATGAAGAATTTTACAGGCTGTCGACCGCGTTCGGTGCTCAGGCAGTTTACTGGGTTCCAACAAATCACGAGGTTCGTTAACTCTGGCCAAGGATCTTGGCTGTTCCTCTGGGTAGCTGTCCTCGTGGCTCCTGCTGCGCGCAGGAGTCTCACCAAGTTAACCATCAGAAAGTAAGATATTCATCCGTTAAAAGAAAGAGGAGCTTTCCTAGGTGAAGTCGAACGGAATGAAAGATGGCGCTCTGGGCAAAGTAAAATAATAATAAAATGGAGAGACCCCTCCATTCCATTTACATGCCAGGCACTGACCCTCGAGACTTCGAAGCCGACCCCTCTAGGAACGCCGTCATTAAATCGCACTGGCAACATGGTACCTGGGAATCATTAATCGAAGCCCTAATCGCGCCTCTAAAGGGCGTTTTAGTGCTCGATTAGCCAACCGACTTGGCACAACCTCCTCCTCGTATTACTGCACTTCCACTGCACTTCCACTGCACTTCCACTGCACTTCTTTGCGTCGCCCCTGGCAGCGGCTCTACGATAAATCGAAATTAACGCTGATTTTATGGGCAGCAGTTATACCTTATAACACTGGAAGAAGTGTTTATCTGCGCGAGCACAGAGTCCCCCCCTGGGTTTCCTGTACGGCCGAGTACAGTAGGCGTCCACATTGCACAGCATTGTCCGATGGTGCTCCTTTTCCATCTTCGGATGATCATCAGATAGATTCAGATCTGTCCTCACTTCCAAGTCCTTGGCGAGATCTAAACAGAGATCAATGATCGAAAGAAAAAATGCTAGCGACTCGAGGCTTTGATTAGGATGAAGTGGCTCGGCTACGTCATGACGGCTTAGAACTGTCACGAGAAGCTAAATCGACGGACGCTGGATGACTGTCTTTCGCAGAACAGATGTCTGCAATCACGCCGCTCCTAATGGCACAACTGTAAATCCATCCACGCCAAGATGACGGCATTATTATTCCGTCGATCGTGCTGCGTTATACTCTCTGCATTCTGGCTCTGGAGTCTCTGCCGAGGAACAACGGAGTCGGAATAGGCCACGATGAGGATTGAATGAAAAGGATGAGATAAAATGGAGATTAAATTAAGAGAGGAAGCAAATGTATTCCTGGTACTGTACCGGTTGACGAATGATGGCAAGGTGCGAGCACTCTTGATTACTTAGGCGGTTCGTTGATCGTCTACCTTCTTCTTCTTCTTCTTCTTCTTCTTCTTGTTGTTGTTGTTGTTGTTGTTGTTGTTGTTGAACGTGTCGAGAAGGCGGTTCGTTGATCGTCTACCTTTCCTGGTACTGTACCGGTTGACGAATGATGGCAAGGTGCGAGCACTCTTGATTACTTAGGCGGTTCGTTGATCGTCTACCTTCTTCTTCTTCTTCTTCTTCTTCTTCTTGTTGTTGTTGTTGTTGTTGTTGTTGTTGTTGAACGTGTCGAGAGCTGTCGGATCAAGACCTGCTATCTCTGTAACAGCCTGTAATTAGAACGCAGATAACAAGCCTTCGTTGAATAGGCTGCCCACGCGGTTCTTGCCTTTGCATTGGCATTTGCCAACCTACATAGGTAAATGGACAGAGGTTCTCATCGGCTCTTGGACTGATTGCGACCTCAACCAAGTAACCGGACGTTACGCGTATACCTTAGCTACTTGGCTAGAGAGCTGCTCGACCGGAGCCCAAGGTCGTTGCCCCAGAAGACACTTGATATCCTGGCCAAAGTTTTCATAACCTCTGTTGTCCGCTGATCTAGTACTAGGACACAGGTTCGTTGCCTTTGCCGTTGCTCTTGATTCGTGCCTGCTGTATACCTTGCTGTTCCAAGCGAACACGAGGACCCTGAAAATAGGCTCCTTGAGAACTTGCCAGTTTGATGGACGATCCTTTTGTGTCTTAATTTTTAACTTTCTTAACTTTGGCTGTCGGATTGAGTCGGAATTATCGATTCTACGGGATCAACCTGATGATTCATTTCGTTGGACTAATTTTCAATCAAAGTGCAAAGATCAGACTTCAGCTTGAAGCTTGACTTGCGCGTCTCTTAAATGATGTGGTAAATTTATATTTTCAGGGGTAAATACGCGACCGTACGGAGATGCCGTGAGAGAGCCAGTGGCAGACAATGGGCTGCCAAGTTCCTGAGGAAGAGAAGACGCGCCCAGGAACTCAGGGCTGAAGCTCTTCACGAAGTTGCGGTGCTGGATGCCGCAGCTCACTGCCCACGACTCGTAAAACTTCATCAGGTCTTTGAGACCAACACGGAGATGGTCCTCGTGCTGGAACTGTAAGTGTAGATGAATCGTGATCATCCGTTTCTGTACCTTCGCACGACCTTACGTCACTGACCCTCTACCTCTTTTACTACTCTTTTACTTTTATCATCGACAGAGCTCCGGGTGGTGAACTTCAAATGGTGCTCGACAGGGACGAAGTTCCTGAAGAAAAACAGGTCGCCAGACTTCTCAAACAAATTCTAGATGGCATTGCCTTTCTTCATTCCTTCAACGTGGCCCATCTTGACATTAAGGTAAGTCCGTCTTGTCTCCTTTTTTTTTTTTTTTTTTTAAATTAATTAATTAAAAATCTTTACCTTCACTTCCTTGTGCACACGGTCGATTCGCTTATTATCGATAAGGACTGTACTTAAGGTTGGCTGACCATTAGAAATAGTATAAAGTGAAGTTAGACGGGCGAGCGACATTTCTGGCACTGATCGCTGGCAAACACTTGACCGGGCCCAGCTCAACGCCCAACGCCCCATCGGCAACGACCCAGATTGTTATGTAAATACCGTGCAAAGCTGCCAACTGCTAGATTAGAACGGATCGAAGGCGCCGTTAGTTGTTGCAATATCCAGACAATTATTTCTTCAGTTTTTAAACGACAAAGTTCTTTCTTACAAGTTCCGTATACTCGTGCTTTAAATGCTGCTAAAGCAATCCTGTGTCGCCGGCACATCCTCCTCCTGTCCATGGTCTCTCGTTAAATGTACAAACGTGCGAAAAGTGACATTAAGACAGATACAGATTATTGTAATACGGACGTAAGTAGAGAATTGCACGACTACATGGTTACACGCATTTATCGATTACCAGAGCAATTGATATGGGTGAGCCAAGGCAAGCCGGTTGCGTATTAATAATATCCATGGCGCTCGGATAGCCTGACACTCCTGCACTCCAGTGTCCAATCCACTCGGAATCATCTACCATCGAGTATATATTTTCAAGCTGAACGCAACGCCAGATTATCGTCTTGCTTATGCAATTATGCAACCCAATTAACATGGGGTTTTGCAAATTGCCGTTAATTCAGAGGGCGCATCGATTCCTCTCGCTGTGTCGCGGGGAAGCAAGGGAGCCCCAGGTGGCTCTATCGTTTTCTCTGTAACTTCATTTTTTATTGACGTATTAACGTTTCACGATGCTTTTACCGTACAGATTCATCAGCTGATATATCATGAAATTATGATACTCCACCTGCGAGCAAATATACTGTTTGACTCATCATTGTAATCGGCCTTGTCGCTTAATGCTTTTATCGCTCAGTACCGTTATCATGATTCGATAGAGAAGTCCCTCGATGGAAACGCACAATGCGGCAGCCATTTGGATCGATAAGATACGGGCCTTACCTGCTCGAAACACGAAAGAGTCTTTGGAAATATGTCAAAGTGAATAAAAAATTGTTGTTTTCATATCGTCCGATAAGATCCTCTCTCGATTTTGACGATTCGATTGGATATCTCGAATACGTGGAAATACGTGGCGGCTCTCTGTAGGTCTTGAGATCGTTTTGCTATTATTTCGATCGCGGCTCGACGACGCGAGCGCCACGCGCGGACGGACTGCTTACCTTTGGCTTTCAAATTTAGATACGACAATTAGCAGATTCCTCGGGTCGTATTGCAGCTGCGAGAAATAACACGTATTCTCGTATCTGTAACGGCACCCTGCGCACCATCGTTATATCCTTCTATCCTTCTCTCTTTCTCTCTTTCTCTCTTTGCATTATAATTTGCTCTTTGACTCTCTCCTTCTCTTACTTATCGACGGTTCTTATGACTTTTCGGGCCACCCTATGCGCATTTCTGCTGAGTCGACGGATGCCAAGGAAGGGACACCTCCTTGCGATACTTGGAATTCGTATAAGCAGTTTGGCTTTACAGAGAATCGACACCTCGACAGAAATTACATATAGTATAGGTGATGCATGTGTTGTATATATACATTTATATTACACGTGTCGACACACGAACCTTATCTCTTCTCCCGGATTTCGAATTATTTTCTAATTGATCATTTACAACATTGCATCAGCGATGCACATGCAACCGCAATGATTTTACGGCATTACCCAGCGGTTCTGCCTCGCAGCTGTCGGCGGATGTCGGAGGATCTCGGAGGATGTCGGAGGATCTCGGAGGATGATACTGTGCACAGCAAAGTAATGACGTCGGGCCAAAGCGAAACGGCGTCATTCCCTTCTCTCTCGTTTTCTCTCTTTTAGTTGATTTTTCATTAGAAATCCTCCCACGCTTCGTGACTCCCGTGTACCTTGCTCGTAGCTTACATAGAACAGTCCACAATACAGTCACCGGTATATCTATAGCCTGCACTCTGTATGGTCATGCTGTTTACCTATTCGCTAATTCCTGGCGTGCACACTCTACACACCAAACGTTATTCCTCGAGTACAGAGAAAGAATGCATCGCGCAGCTCATCTGTGCCCGATATAGCATTCTCTGGTGTTATGAATGAAAAAAAATTCAGGTAAATTCCTTGGCGACTTTCCAGAAAACCCTGTTGGACCTACTCCAGGAACTTGGCGCCGCGACGCTCTCGAATGCTCGATTTATCCTGGTCAACATTCGCTTCCTAATTCTTTATTTCTGGTGCTTTGAATTCTTGGGATAATTTTATATCTTCATAATCCTTCATAATCCTTGTATTCCTTGTATTCCTTGTATTCCTTGTATTCCTTCATAATCCTTGACTTTTATCGTTTCGCATTCGCTAGTTTGAAGAAAAGTCATTCTCGTAAAGCCGACTGTGTTACTGCCAGTGGAGCCAACCGAGCCACGCATGTCTGGCGGCCAAGAAAGGGTCGCGGGCACCGCGTCTCCCCTTCTCGCACCGGAAGTTTCAATTAGAGTGAGAGACAGATCCTCATAAATACATTCGTTGCCAGTTAAAAAGCCGTCGGGAACGTGTCTCGTATTTGGCCGATTCTCACCCAGCTAAAGGGGATCCTCCTCCTCCTCCATTCCGTCATTCCGTCATTCCGTCATCCTTACCGGAGTCGAGCTCGAACCATGCGGAGGGAGCAAGTAGGCTTTGAGGTCAACGTCGAACAAAAAGCTCGAACGACCTCAGGGGGAGAAGAGAGTTCGGAGGGAGCTTCTCGTGGATGGAATTCCCTCCTGGCGCGTCGTGAGCTCTTCTTCGCGTAGCCTTCACCCAATGTGTAACAGGGTCCTCGCTGGCCGCAATTATCGAGGTCATTACAAATTGTTCCTCTCTCCGTCAACCGCGTCACACTCCTTATACACACACGTGTGCGCATACTTGTTCCTGCTAAACGTAGAACTTTTATGTACGAAGAAGAATTCTTTTCCGTTTCAGCCATATGGGAGTTTGCGCACACATTGTTTCCGTCTGTCCTAGTCCCCTGGTACCTCGTCTCCTCGTCTGGTACCTGGTACCTGGTACCTGGTGCACGTGCACCTGCCCTCCACTCCAGGGCTACGAGGGTCGTCAGGAACCGTTTGAATTAAAGGTGAACACAATGAACCTGCGTTGTAAAAGTACTTTGAGGGCAGCGGGGTGTATCGTGTCCTTTATAGAAACGGCATATCTGGTTACGCTCCGGCACCCCGATACGGAGGCCATTACGCTGTTCCGCTGTTACGCTGTTACGCTGTTACGCATATACATACGCGTACTATACGTATATACAAAAATTTGTTCGGCCCACCCGGTATGCATCCAACGACGAATGGTGAGCCTGTAAGAATCGTGTGAAAAAAATAAATGCTTATCTTGTAAATAAAATCGTGATAACAAAATGGTAACGTATCCTTCGTACTTTGTATGGGAATCGATTTCACCCAGCACGTATCCGGATAACGTGGAACCAGCGAGTTGTTTGTAAATCTAATAGCTAATCTAGTAGCAGCATTACTCTCCGTTCACCATGTGTTCCATCCTGGCCATCCCGGTTCCTTCCAGGTTCCTTCCAGGTTCCTTCCAGCTTTTCAGCTTCTCGTTATAGCTGGAGCAAATCTGCTAACGAGCCAATTCTCGGTGCGATATGAATTTTAATGGCCATCCTCCCCTGCATTATTCATAAAGAGGTTATAAGGAGATACTTGATGAATTTTCTCGTTTCTCTCTTTATAAACGTTACACGAGAGATTGTACCTTGGTGCTTCATTATAGTATCCCTAGGCATCGTCCTGTATCCACGGGTATCCACGGGTATCCACGGTTCCTGTTCGGTAGTCAAGGGTTCAGGATATTGATCATGGCCGACCCGGACGCCAGGATGGTAGTAGGATGAGTATCTTTGAATCTCTCTATTAGTACGTCCGGTCTCATGAAGAAGCCTGGTCACGTAGCACTCGTAACTCGGTATAACGAAACGTAACACACAAACCCAATCGACGAGTAAGGACACGTTCTGGACAGGTTACTACCGTTGAGCTCTGTGCCATGTTCGTCCGAGGATCAAGTAGAGTCGAGAGTCTCTGGTGCTTTTCTTGACTTTGTTCCCTGTTCAATTTTTCCAATTTTAGTTTTTTTTTTTTCCTTTCCTTTTCCCCTTACATTTATTGGACTGACTTTAGAAGTTCCTCGTGATAAAGGATCCACCTTCGGCATCTCTCAAGATCAGTGAGAGCTCAGAAGGTAGAAACTTTTGAAGATGGATGAGAACGCTCGCGGTGGAAAGGTGGAAACTTTGCTCACTGGGTTCTGTTGACTGGCTGTTTATTTATTTTTTTAGTTTTTTTTTTCTGATAAATTTTTTCCCCCCTTTGCTTTGAACAATCGAACAATGGTCATATAGCGAATGTGTGGAGTCTGTGTCGGAGGCTGTGGCTCGTGAAGCCATTGTTGATGCTAGGACGGAGTCCCACTGGTTTACGACCACCTAGGTCGGCCAGGAATTACATTTTCCAGTACCCCAACCGTCCGTTTCAGCCGCCATTGAGCTACTACAGTATTGGTCTTAAGGGTTTGTTAAACCCCTTGCGAGAGCAGGCCGAAGGGTTTGAGGTTACCTTAGGTGTTATGTTTTGATTAATCGTTACCATTGTGCTATGCATTATCGTACTTTGACTTTAAGGTAATTTCAATTGAATGCACTTAAAGCCTTCATCGGGCCTCTAGTATATTAAACTATATGTATTAAAGTTGAAGATAGTTTTTGTCTGAGAATATTTTATAAATTACTTATTACGTCAAACAAAAGTCGTTTAGAGACACTCCAAAACGTTCGTAATCCAGTCTTGCAGTTTTTTACAAGGAATCTCTCATTATATTTCATTGGAGGAAAGTATTTAATGATCTTTCTTGTTGTCCTGACTCTGATGCAAGTCAGGATAAAAAAGAATTTAAGATAAAATGGATTTCTCGTGTTTTACTCGCTCTCGTTCTGGTTCTTATAATGGAGACTAATATTTCATTTTCAAAATTCCTCGGGCTGCTTCAAGGAGTTTTCTTTGTCGAATGAGAATGGGTAACGCGATACTCTTTTCAATGTAAGGTATAAGGCGCGCTCTCTCTCTCTCTCTCTCCCTCTCCCGCACCCCACGTGCTCGCCAGGGGCGTATTTCCAAAAGATTATAGGTTTTAGGAGGATAGTTATTTTAGCTTTGGACGTTAATCTTGCCAGTTAATTATAGGACCGAGTAGTTTCACACTGGCATCCGCCATAGCGTTTCTATGCTTCCTTCAAATTTTCAACGTTTTTTTTTGTTTTTTTTTTGTTTTTTTTTTTTTTAATGGGATCTTCGGGGTACCATGAACCTTTTGATGTTTTGTGACTGGTTATCCTTATCTTGGTATCACCATTTCATGTTTCAGCCACAGAATCTGGTACTCACAGGTGAATTTCCGGATTGTGACGTAAAACTCTGCGACTTTGGAATCTCCAGATACATAAGCCACGGTGCGGACATACGTGAGATTTTGGGCACGCCCGATTATGTTGGTGAGTATCGCGAGCTTAGGTGGCTGGTTTGTAATAGTTTGACGATTCTATTGGCCGATCCTTCATCTTCACTTTCATTCGACAGCCCCAGAAGTCCTGAATTACGAGCCGATCAGCCTGGCGACCGACATGTGGTCCATTGGAGTTTTACTTTACGTTCTGCTAACTGGATGCTCCCCGTTCGGTGGCGACACGAAGCAAGAAACATTTTGCAACATCAGCCGCTGCCGTCTCGACTTCCCGGATGATCTCTTCGAGGACGTGTCCGAGGAGGCTCGCGATCTCATGCGGAAGCTCATGGTCAAAGACCCCAGGTGAGTCCGATCGTGAGAGTTGATGACGTTCATCTTGCATGGACCATCCGATTGCTGCTAAAGAGACAAGTTAACGGCACTGCTCTTGCCGGGTGAAAAGAATCCAGGAAGTCCCGTAGAGGATGTTTATGTCGTGGAAGTCCAGTCCATACTTAGGCGACTTGACCAACCTGGAATTACCATTACGTCTCTGATATTAAAGACCTGCCACTATTTTCTCTTTTACTCTAGAAGCAAAAAAAAACAAGAGCAGTCTTAATTTACTGTATACATATATTATCAGTCTTCACGATAACTTTATAAGCACTTTTGTGTTTCTTAGAATAAATTTGGACAAACATGTAATTTGACGAAGTGTCATGTAACTTGTGATAATTCATACCAACGTGGAGATATGGATGTTATCAAATTGTACAGTACTGCTATCAGGGAACAGCTGGGGAGGTTCCCTGCTTTCTGGGAGGAAATTCTTATCCAGCGTCCTGGTTAAAGAGAAATAACAAAACTTAAAAGTCTTCTTATCGCCTTGATATTGCACCTTGTTTTTTTCTTTTTTTTCTTCTTTACGCAATTATCTTTCAATGCAATTTAACCAAGTAATCGAGTAACCGAGTAACCAAGTAATCTTTATCTGTGTTATTTCAGTGAACGATTGACCGTCACGGAGTGTCTTCAGCATTCCTGGTTCAGCGCGTTCGAGGATCCTCAGCCAGGACTGTCCTTATCAGCAGCTATCGAGGATAACTCGCACAGTCAGTTGTCGCTTGCGGATAGCGAGAAGTCGACGCAGAAGAGATCCTCCACGCCGGAACCGTCGAAGGATAACGTCAGCCAGCAGCACCAGAAGCAAAACTCGTCAAAGGGCACGATGCAGACCGAGTCGAAAACATCGGGAGTAAGAGCAGTGTCATCTCACACGGAAAATATTTATGCCAAATCAAAGTCGACGCCGATGCCAGTAAGGATTGGCCTCAGTGCCGACAGGAGAGACACCTTTAAGAAGAACATGGATTCTCTGGCGCAAAAGTTCACGTCGAACACGGAAATCGTGATAATAGAACCGACGCCGTCCCAAAGACGCGCCACGGCGACGCACACGATCGCCGCTGGTGAGGTTTTCAAGTGCACTCCGGTTTTCATACTCGGCGAGGAACAGCAGTGCGACAGCGGCAGCGACACCGTGTCCGAAATCTCAACTGACAGCTCCAGCGACCGGAGCAGCATCTACTCGGATGATTCTCTTGATTTTATATTATACGGAAAGAGTCAGGGCAGAGCCAGCTTCCCGTTTGCGTCAGCGGAATCGGATAGGTGGGACCAGAGGCACAGTCATTCTCGCGTCTGGCCCCGCGAGTGTAGCGGAGTCGTCAGTAAGGCCCTTAGCAGATTCTCATCGGAGCCTGGCACCACCGGGGCCAATTCTAAGGTCGTTAAAGCGACGCCGCCAGCGGCGACCCGTGGCAAAGCTAGTCTGGAGGCACTTAGAGAACGGGGGGGAAATTTGGTTGTTATTCGTGAACCGGTCAGGGCCGGTAGGTATACTAGGTACAGCGAGGTACAATGCGAGTCCGTCCAGGCACGCATTCGACGCTTCCAGGTTCACGGGGCGTCGTAAGGCTTGGGCGTCGGGAGCGTCCATGTGCCGCTGAACGTAACTCAAGAATCCTTGGATATTTTATCCTTGTCTTTGGAGAGTCTCGGACTGTATATAGGTACGTTGCACGGTACCCTTGATGTGAGGACTCAAGATCTTCATGAAGATAATCAAGGTAGCTGAAAGAGGAAAGCGAAGGAAGGAAAGTTAGGCCACGAGGATGGCGTTACTCGTGGAGTCAGATCTCCTTGGATGAAGTATGTTATGCCTGCCTTTGGAAACAACGTCTTTCCATCAACTGTAAATAAAGTTTCCACTGTTCTTGTAAATAATATTTCACTAGAGCGATCACAAATACTTCTCGTTGGATCCTCGTGGCTGCCGTTCAAACTCGAAGGGATCACTCGACGATCCACATAACAACAATTGGAAGAACAGCACGCGCGGAAGACACGACGACTGTTTGTACCTCGTAACCGGATAGAAGAAGCTTCTCGAATGGACTGACAAGAATTCTCTGGATAATCTTGAAACATTTATCGGATATCAGAAATATCAACGCGTGCCTTTCTAGTTCGTCTTTCGCGAACGTTATCAAACCTTATCAAGGAGAGTGCCTCGACTGTCGTCAATATACATGTTCTACAATTTTCTATCCATGGTCCATTTCAGTAAACGAACATCCCGTTATATCACAAAATATGTATTTTCCACTTTTCATTGTTAAATTTACAATGCGTGAAGCATAACGTTAAAGGAGAGTAGGGACAAAATGATGAAGAAGGACCAACGTATTAAAAAAAGAAAAATGTGCCTTATAGGTTAATAATCGATTCGAACAATCTTCTTTTTTTTTATTTAAAAACTAAGTGATTTCGTCAGGATCAAAAATTGAGAGCCTAGACAGGCTTCTAGGCGTCTTTAATTGTCTCCGGCAAATGTCGACGAAGACCCGAGAGAACCTACGAGAACGTTGAAAGATAATTTCGAGATGGAACATTAATTTTACCATCGAATGACGAAAGAAACCGAAAGTCCAAAGATTTATCTCTTGTTTCCTTCCACGTCAGTGACTTACGTGTGTCTCGGCGTCGTGGGTTGCGTTTTTGAGGCGCGTTGTTAGTTGTGTCGTTTTCTCCAAAAATTAAGATGCCCGAAAGCCTAGGCGTTTGAACTCTTGGTCTCCTAACTATGTACTAGCGTTTCTCGCGGATGCAATTGTCGATGCATTCGCCATCTTAAATACTACTAATTTATTCTACGATCTAACGATTTACGATTACAATTATTCCGGAAAGCGTTGAGTGCAGGTAGTTAGCTGTGACGAAAGGCAATGATAGGATGACAAAGAGAAAAGAAACTTCATGAATTTTTATGAAAAGTGAAGAACAAAAAAAAATGAGAGAGAGAGAGAGAGAGAGAGAGAGAGAGAGAGAGAGAGAGAGAGAGAGAGGCAATGATAGGATGAACAAAGAGAAAAGAAACTTCATGAATTTTTATGAAAAGTGAAGAACAAAAAAAAATGAAAAAAATTGTATTCAAATAAAAATCCTCCCGTGGGAGAGGAGGGAGGGGGGGGCGGCGGGGTGTCTTGCGCACCTTAAATTGCGCGATACCGAGGGGGTACTGTTTTGTAAATGCTAGTCATTGTTCTCGCGCATCTCCTTTCTGCCACGCTCTCCAGTTCCTAGATGGAGAAACAAGTCTAATTTATGAAACATTTTATTAGATTCCGAGGAACCACTTTTTTTCTGTATAATACTCCATATCGACAATTCATAGCTTACTTCTGTATTTTGCGATACCCTTAGACGTTATTAGCGTTTGCTAATGTAATATCTGTCCACACTTCTATATAAGGGACACACACTCGTTGACAATAGCCAACGAGTGTAATATGGTGTCACGCGGAGAACGCCAAATACTGGAGAACAAAAGAAATTTCAAGGAAAATGCTCGAGACGAGATGTATATATATATTTAGATATATAATATATAAATATACATATATATATATTACAGAGAGTGAGAAAAAAGCAATCGTCCAAGATAAACTGACTAATTCCAAGAAAATTTTATTCATTTGAAAATTACTTAACAAGAATAATAATCTCTTGGGATAGTCCCGGCCAAATTCAACACCTCGTGGATCGAGGACAGTGTTAGTAAATTGTCCCTGTATTATAGTAAAAGACGATATCAATGTGAACTTTGAGATAAGCGTTGGTACGAAAACGAGTAATTTTGAATCGTCGTGTAAAATATAGTTTTGCTACGAAGACCGAGGGATGGGATGTTCGAGTTATGTTTTATTTTTTTTTATTTTTCTTTTCTCCTTGAATCCCCTCTTGGACACGCGACACGTACAATGGGCACGACTATTTATTTCTAAACGCAATAAGGCTTGTATTTAATAATTATAGAGAATATTTTTTTTTGTATCTTCTATTAATCGTTAACTTGTACGAAGTCACGTGTCTCGGAGAATTCTATGGAGAAACGCGAAAACACATAAAATCAGCATCGATGAAAATGACTCGTTAAGTAATTCTGACTCGAATGCGATTTTCCCTCGTCTGACTTTATTAACTTACAGGTGCTATTACAATCATTACTATTAATGTCTATTATCAATCGATAAGGATCCGCGTAGCACCTAAGATCTCCTCTGTAAATAGAACGTCGATTATATATTAATTTTAATAACAATATAAAATAAATACTATGACACATTTCATTATAGATCATTGCATATGTCACTTCTTACCTGAAATAACATTACCGATTGAATCCCCCCAAGAAAAAGATCCTAATTGTCTCGAAAGATCAATTTATACGATGACCCATAAATTGTTTGATGAAAAAGAATTGTCAAATAAAAATGTTACTAGCCATTCGATTGAAGTCAGGCGCGCAAAGACGCCAGGCGAAGTAGATAATATTTTTAAATCTTATTCCTTCTGGTGGTCCCTCGACACGAAAGAGCCGACATAGACGTGTCGTCGTGATCATGGTCGTGATCATGGTCGTGATCGTAAATAATTCATGCTGCTCCCAGGAGTCCACGTTCCCTGCAGAATTGAGTGCGACGTGATAGCCAGATCGGCGGAACAACAATGCGTCTAAAAATAGTCGGTTTAAGGAGGTAGTCACCAAAGATGCAGCCACCGGTCTTGTCCGATTAAAATGATTTTATGTCCAAGTGTAGGAAGAGAAAGGAAGGACGTGAGAGAGAAAGAGCAACCGGAGTCCTGTAACGCTGTGGATGTGTTGCAGTTGCGCCTGACAATCAGATCATCCTTCCTGCACTCTTTGCTTTCTGCAACGATGCACCCGGCACATCCAGCATCCGACGATCATGGGATTCAGCCAATATGGCCATTGGCTCCTTATACCTTTTTCTTCGATTGCCAACCTTCTTTCGTTTCTATAAATATATCTGTAATTACTTACAGTCTAATGGCTCTAGTCCCAGGTGAGACGATGAATCACATTTGCACACCAAGTTCCTCTGCCAAAGTGACCCGGTATTTACTGGCAGCCACTGTCGGTATGGCCAACGAGGCAGCCATTAAGTTTCTAGATAGTCCAAAGCGTGTTTATACTTACTTAAATTGCACCGTGAAACTAATAAAGCAAACTCAGAGATCTCGCCGTTACGTTTTAATGTCCTCTTTTTTCTTTCCTCTCTTCTTGATAGTTTCTAAAGTTTCTCTCTGCTCCGTTCCTCTCTCCTCTTCGGTTCTACGGACCTGCATTTTTTCTTCTCTCGCCATATATACCTCTATTAATAATTCATCAGTCACGGCTTTGCGCGGCTTCGTGCGAAATAAAGAGAAATTGAAATAAAAGAGACTGGACGATACATTATGCCAAAGGGGAAGCTTTATATTCCATACCGAAACTCACGTTGACATCGATTTTGTGACGTCATTTTTTTTCGATTATCTTATACGTCGTTTTCAATCTATTTCGATTTCATTCGACAATATCAGGCAGGTTAATGAAAATCGGTTAAATATTTTTTTTACTCGACTTATAAGTACCTAGGGACTTTCGGGATTGACGCACGGAGAATTAAGATCGTGTTTTTGGTAATCAGAACGACGAAGCAATTTGAGGAAGGTTTCAAGATAATAACGTACAATTAATACAGTAATTTCCAAGGAAATTATCGACAATAAATTAAAAGGCAGTCATGGTGTAATGACGTAATGACGTAATGAATGACGGGGCGTACTCGCGCAACAGCCCCAAAACGAACGACCGATCTTAATTAAACTTATAAAGCATCGTTATTAATTCCCTCTCATAAATCCTATGCAGTACTTAATTCGCACGAAACACGCATGGACTTTTACGTCGAACGACTATCTTCATTTTATTAGCTTTTTCACTTACCTTCACGACGCAGGAGAAAAATAATCGCCTTTGCCTCCCCGACTGCGTAGTCAGCTTTCTCACCTCGGCGTTGATATTCATCCGTATGCTTTGTAATCCTTAGACTCGATCGGAAGTCAACTTCTTAGCGATTCTAAGTAAATTGTTTATGCACTTTTGTGGCAAATTCCATTTAAGGATCACGGTCGTTTTGACAAGAATCGCCATTCGCCTACCCGCACCGGAGCAAGGTTACCGTGCGCGTGCGCGTGCGCGTGCGCACAACACGCAACTGCATCCTTCCGTAAGACTGCATCAAATTCAAATTCAAATAAAAATTCAAATAAAAATTTTGATCTAGATTACAAACAGAGTATCGCGTGGACGAGTATTTTATTACAGACTCAAGGAAAAGGCTCGTATGAAATAGTGTTGAAAAAAAAAAAAATCCCGGTTTTACCGAGAGTGCATTAATCGTAGCGGCCGTAGGACGATTATTACAATGCTGGTTACTCGTTTCTATTGTCTCGTAAATTCTTGTCTCGTAAATCCAAACGAGATACGCGCTGCGTCGTGCATACGAAATACTTAATGCTCGCAATTGCACAAAGGTTGCAGATCGCTTTATTCTTTATGGAAACGTGCGACCGTTTCGTCGTAAGGTTTTAGATTTGCATTCTCCCTGGAATCTTGGATCCTCCTTACGATGCGTTCAAGTTAGTCTCGTTACGTAAAGAACCTCGCCCATTGTCATTTTCAATGTTTACCACGTGGAATCTAGATATCAAGTGAATTACGCATATGGAATAAGGAATATTAGCAAATGCGTTTTTTGTATTTACGGAATATAAAAGTTTTTACATAAAAGTAAATCTGAACTGCTACTGACAAAGGACCCTTTACTTTTATCAGCCACTTCGATAGAACAGACGGTATGTACGATATATGTTTACGTATGTTAGTTGTATCCTTGGAGCGATGACGCGGGCAAAATACTGAAGGGAATAGTAATAAAGAAAGAAAGAAACAAAGTGAAGGAAACCGTGTTGAAGAATATTTGTTAAATATAAAAAATGCTTCATCGAGATTTCTATCAATTAATAGTTCACGTAAGGATATTTATTACGTATAAATTAGATTAATTATTTTTAATTAATTTGGAGCAATATCAATTCTTGAGATTTTTAAATTTTTAAGAAAGTCCGCTCTCTGATTCATTACCCGAGGACCTACGCACCAGGTACTCTGTACATATTTAGGTATGGCGCCCACATTTCAGCAACTCGGCACACGCACTTCTCCACGAAGGGCAGTCCTCTACAACGAGTGTCTAAATTGAAATCAAACATTTTATAGTTACGACTGACTATAATAATAAATCAAAAGGTACGACGGTGAGGATGAGATCTAAAAAAAGAATGGACCAGTCCAGTTGTGAATTTATACTGTGGTTCTGATTGTGAAATCAATTGAATTATTTGACGCCTTCTTTCTAGAGGTTTCAACAGCGACAAAGAAGCTAACGGTCACCAACTCAAAATGTAGATATTGCATGCGAAATTTGAAAGATTTATTGAATTAATTCTTTATATCGTAAGAACCACATACACGGTATTCCCAGAAAGTAATCGTACTGGAGGAATGATCGGTGAGCTCGATGGGAACATTTGTAGCTTTGTCCTTTAACGAAGGTTATGGCACAAGGTCATTCAAGAAGAGAGAATAAAAATCATCCTGATCCATCATTAGGATATCACCAAGCGAGGATAATTGGGCGATTATCCATGAAACTGCTTCCAAGCATCTCAGACTAATTGTAACCAAGAGCAGCAAGATCTTTAATTTTTACCTCAAGATGAGAGTGCGTCTGGCTACACTCGGTTGTGAGTACTACTAGAGACTTTAAGGAGTCATTCACTGGCAAGGATTCATGACCAGGAAAAAGCAAGACCTTTCAAGAAAAAGGTGTCTTCCGCCTAGCAAGTTCAGGAACGATAACTCGATATTCATCGGACTGACAATGAGGCACTTTCTTTGGACAAAGGAAGATTCTTAAGAGTGAACGGTTCATTTTTCACGGTGAATTCCGTTGCCTCTTTTTATCGTGGTTGCCAAGAGAGGAAAATAAATCGCGATAGCTGCAAGCGCTCATTAATTTGCATGTTAGCCTGGGACCCATGGGCTTACACTGTCCGTGGCAAATATGGTCGAGGAGGTCATTACCGTTGATGACTTTTTGGTCCTTTCCCCCAGCATCTCAGCAGCGCCGTTTAATGGACCAACAGACACCTTCCTCTGTTATTACAAAAATTTTGTACAAAATTAATGACAAACTATAGAGAATGTATGGAAAAGAAAAATTGGAAAATTTCACCCGAGATTTTCATTGCTAAGAAAAATGACAATTACGCACTCTATCTTTCTTATTGTTTATTCTACGTCTATTCTCTACGGGGTTGAGATACATAAGACACTCGCCGTCCTTTTTGCCAGAAGCAATATAATCGGACATGGAAATCTCGAGGTGAAACCCCCACGCTTCTCATTAACATACTAACACTTTTTTTCCATCCTTTTCTTACTGACAATCGCATTAAATGCCTCGTTGGTCGGGCACTGATCCACGAAATGTTCGATTACTCAAAAAAGGTACGAAAAATAAAGAGAACGTATTGGACATCTCGGAGGAACTCTTTGTTTGGTTCCACGGGTCCTCTTAACTCCTCAAGATCCACAGGAACCTGGCAAGGAGATCTTCTTCTCTTTGATCCTCATGAGAAAAAGAAAACCGTTGACATTCACCACGCACTCCGTATACGTAGAAAGGAGGCAGCATGTACGACACGGCAATTTCCAATTATCGTAATTCCCCTGTACATTCTCATTGAACAATCTTGATAAATTACTGTCTTCTCTCCTTCCTCTTCAATTTTCACCAACCAATCCATGCATAAAATGGTACCACCCTGTGAATATGAAAAAAAAAAAAAAAAAAAAAA